GCAGAGGGCTACGGGTCAGGAGTGAGGGGCCCCGGCAGGGCTGGGAAGCAGGGGCTACACTCCCACCCCCCAGTTCCCCCTGGTCCTACCTGCCTGGCCTGGGCCCCTCCCTGACACACACCCCCTACCCCACAACAGCTGTGGGGCCTGCCCCCCTCCCTCTGCCCACCTCGTCACCACCACCACTGGCCAATCCTGAGCCACCGAGCCTTGCCACATCAGGGGCACAGCAGGCTTTTCAGCCTATCAGAACCTCTCACTTGCCGCTGGGGCGGGGCAGGGCTGCCAAGCTGCATCCTCACTGGCCGAAGCCCATAGTCACGGTGCCCGATGCCCCTCCCATGGGGAGACCTGCAGAGCAGCTGGCAGCAGGAGCTGGAGGGCAGGGGCATGTGACAGCATGCGTTATACCCAGCCTGCCACACCCCACCCCAGAGCCAGCTGCATCTCAGCACCACCAAGATGCAGCCACCTCTGGGGTGGGATGTCAGGGCTGTGCCCCTCACTGAGATGCAGCCGGCTCTGGGGTAGGACAGGTCAGCAGCTGGGTATAGCAGAGATGCAGCTTCCTCTGGAGTGGGGCACAGGAGACTAGGGATACAGGGCTGAATTGCAGCTGGCTCAAGGGTGGGACATGTCAGCAGCCAAGTAGAACAGAGACAGTGGGCCGGGGGTGTCTGGGCTGAGGATACAGTTCTGCAGCTGGCTCTGGAGTGGGCAGTGCTGGCAACTGAGTATAACAGAAATTGCCTCTGGGGTGGGGCTTGGGAGACTGGGGGTACGGGGATACCATGTAGCTGGCTCTGGGGTGGGACGTGTGAGAGCTGAGTAGAATGCATGCAGCTGTCTCTAGGGGGGCATCAGGGCTGGGGACGTGCGGCCCCTCCCTTGGATGCAGCTGGCTCTGGTGGGGGCACAAGACTGGGTGTCCTAGAGCTGTCACGTTGCTTCCCCTGGTCCCCGCCAGAGCCATGACTTGGCAAGAGCGAAGCCCCCCCAGTGCCCGCAGGGCCAGAGCCGCTGACTCATGGGCTCAGATTAAGAGCTAAATACATCCCGGTGCCCGGCAAGGAGTGGTGGGCACGTGACGGGGCAGTGGCGCTGGGGGTGAGGGCCACCAAGGCGGAGCAGCTAGAGCGACCCTGTGAGGGGGGTATCATAGCAGGAGGCCTGCGCGAGTCCTCCTTCCCCTGCCCAGGGCCCCATCAGCTCAGAAGCAGCCACCTCTGGGGTGGGGCACGGGCTGGTTACACCAGGACACTCGCATCCCAGCTGCTCACACATTTCCCACTGCTCCTGGCACATCGTGACCCCATCTCTGCCCAACCTGAGGCCCCGTCCCAGCCCCAGCTCCAACTACTGAGTCCTTTAAAGCCACAACCAGCATTTAATTGGCAAACACCACAGATAAACGGACCCCAGCCAGGGGAAAAGCAGCAATCAGCCCTTGGGGTTCGGCCTTGGCCTCCGCCTGCCTCCAGTCATGAGGTATTGACCCCCCAATGCCACAAGCCCCACCCCACAGCCCAGACCGCAGCCACCCCTGCTTTTGCTGGCATGTCTGGACTCACCCAAAGGGCTCGGTGTTGTCAGCTCAACGGCACCGAGGAGAAGAGATCCCAGCCGCCCTGCCACAGGAGGTCCTCGCAGAAAGGAGAGAGGACCCAGGTGGCCAGACTCCCACCACACCCCTGCTCTAACCCCAGCCTCCACTCCCCGCCCAGAAAGAAGAGCTCCCAGCAGCACTCCCTAGTCTGACCCCCCACCAAGAAAGGAGAAGGACCCTGGCAGCCAAGCTCCCAGCCCCCTGCTCAAACCCTCCAGCCCCAGCTCCCCTACCAGAGCGGGGGAGAACCCAGTCTGTTCCCCCATCCACGCTCCCCAGGTGTCTGGGCTCTATCCGCAGCCCCCACTCCCCCTCCCCGTGCTGGGACAGAGCCCGGGCGTCTGGGGCAGGCAGTGCTAAGGGGGGCAGGCTCTCTGGACGAAGGGCAGCAGGGGCTGCTTAGGGAAGGGGGCCTCCAGCCCAAGGCAGGATGTCCCCTCGGCCAGTGTCACGTTGGCAGCCCCCAGCCAGGCCGCCAGGCCGCGCAGGCTGCAGTGGCACAGCAGGGGCACCCCCTGTAGGTCCAGGACCTCCAGCGCCCCCAGCCCCCCGAAGACCCCACCAGACAAGGTTGCCAAGGGGTTCCCCGACAGATCCACCTCCCTCAGCACCCGCAGCCCC